GCAACCACCCCATGGGGGTAGCGTGCTGAGGTCCATGCCCGCTGCCGACGTCTCCTTCAGAGCCATCTCCCATCCGTCAGCATCCCGCCAGCACCCACCCGCCCCGTGGACATCCTCCACCAGGGCCCTCGCTTCTTTGGGGTCAATTTGTCTTCTTTGCCGTTGGCCTCATCCCCTTGTCTGGTACAGGAGAAGGAGAGGGGCTTCGTCCAGCAGTCACACATGGTTCTGCATTGGTCCTCACCCTCCCTAGCATCGGCTTGGCCCTGGCTTGGGAGGGTGGGTGGCAGGGGGCCCGGGCCAGGATCAGGTAGCAGGGTCAGGGTGGTGAGATGGGGACAGGATGTTGGGATGGGATGGGATGTTGGGATGGGACAGGATGTGGAGAGGACACAGGACATAGGTTGGTCCCCCAAGGTCAACTGATGGCTGACCAAGTCAAAAGGAAGACAGGAACAGGGAGCAGCGCTTACTAGGGGGTCACTGGTCTGTTCCTAGGGATTGCAGCTTCCATTTCTCCCTGTTGGCCCTCTTTGGGGAGAGCTAGCATGAGATCCCCCAGCACACCCAGGACCTGCCGCCCCAGACCTGGCTGAGCCTTGTGAGAAATCACATCCCAAACTGTCCCTTTGCCCTGGTCATGTACCCTGAGGGCTGCCCTAGGGCAAATGGAGAGGGGGCATCCCTGCTCCAGAAGCCATCAGGGCAGGAGGGTGGCATGAGCATTCCCCTGCCTCTGCCCATGCCCTCACCTGTGGTGGCACTTCCTTGGTCCCTTGTTGCAAAAAGGACAATCACCACATGCCACCAAAAGTGCACTGGGCAGGGGAAGTGGGGGATGTGTCCCCTGACTTGCTTGGTCCCTGCCACACTGTCAGTTCCACTCCCAGCTCTTGGCTGAGGCTGCCAGTGCCTAAAGGCCACTGGTTTTGTGGATGTCACACAGCAAATCCCACCTCCAGTTTTGCCACAGCCTGTGGGTGTCACCACAGTGGAGCCATTAGCAATAAGATGAGACACTCCTCCCACAATGCTGGGGAGCCCTCAGCACCCTCTGCCCTGCAGGGTGCATCACCGCAAAGTGCTGGCAGTGTGGGGTGACCCATGGGATGTGGAGAGCACCCCAGTGTCTGGCTTTGCCCACAGAGCTAGCCAGAGCCACCATGGCCCTCCAAATCCATTCTTCCATCTCCAGCATTTTGCCTGCACACTGAGCAGGGTGTCTCCCAAGGGCTTGGCTCCCCCCGAGCCATGGGGCTCCATCTGGCTGCCAACTCCAGGTGGATCTAGCCTCAGCAT